GCACATAGAGGTCACTAAAACATTAAAAGATTAAATGCCGATAACTACTCGCTGGACAAACCTTAATTGTTTTATGACCCTTCACGCAGAACTCTTCATTGACAATTCTAGAAAGAAAATTCGGATTGCCAACACACAAACAGAATGTCTCATATCGAGAATATTCCACATTGAACATGAAGAAAAATTAATTATTTTTAATAATATGTAAAAATCTCCACTTTCACCTGAAGACGGTTGTGAGACCAGACCAGAAACACGTGTCGTGAAATTATGTAAAACAAAGTATAATATTTTTTTTCTCAATAAATCCACATTACAACCAAAAACGTTTGCGGCACCCCTCTTCTTTTTAATATACATACTTTTCTCTCGTTGGAACCACTACAACATATTTCTTTTATATATATGTATATATATAATTATATATGTATATATATATATATATGTATATATATATATATGTGTGTAATAGAAAGAGAGAAAAAAATTTATCTATATGCGTATAAAAGATTGTATGGGGTCTTTTACAAAACAACATGCTAAATGCATTATTTGCTCATCGTAACATGGCTGACCAGAATTTTGTTTTACAAAATGCTATTTTAATTTAAAGAGGATACAATTCAGTAAGACGGAAATGTTTAGAAAGTGCTTTAAACTTTCGTTCATCCACAGTAAATTTGCGTCCAGGTTTCACCATTATTGGCAGATCTTCTACAATGTGGTATATTTAATAAAAATTGATGGAAACACAAAGAGTCTTAATAAATTCGGTTAGATTTACACAATACATATAAAAATAAACAGGAATTTTTTGGTGCGCATGCGTAGGCGCATCAACGCAAGCATCAATTTATCCCGATGAAGTCCTGAAGATCGAAAGGCGTCACACGAAAACGTTTTTTTATTTTGTCAGACATTTTTCTTCTAAAATGTACGTATATATATATATATATATATATATATATATATATATATATATATTCGATATTTTATGTAACAGTGTGTGTGTCTCTGTAAATATAGACAGACAAAATCGAGAAATTTCTTGTTTTTTGTCATTTTCTTTTTCAATCTTTTTATAAAATACCCATTGAAGCGCTATACCGTACTTGGTGAAGACATGTCGTTGACAAAATGCGATAATTGAGATTGTCTCGCGTTGAAAGTTGCACTCCAGCCAATGGTACGACTAAAAACATCTTTCCTGTTGGCTTTGGCCACAACGCTTCCATTATCTTTCTTGAATCCGTCCTGATTGGACATTCTTCAACGAAACGGCCTCTCTTGACTAAAAAGCCTTACGCCAACTCTTCTCCGCACGAACAAAATGTCGACGTCTCATTCCAAACAGAGATATTTTGGAATGTATTCTCTTTTTATTTTGACATTTTTTCCTCATTTTTATTGCCTTATTTCAGTTTCAATCTTTGGTCCTTTCATGGAAATGTTTTTGCTAGATTTTGTTTGCTATTTCTTGTAAGAAATTGCAAAAAGTCACAAACAGACAAACGGAAACCATAGAAATTAAAATAATAATAATAATAAAGCTGGTACAAAAAAAAATGTCCAATATGTTTTTTTTACATTACTGTTCACCCTGAACAAGGTCCCAAACTCACTCAAATATCTGCAATAAAAGAAAGTTAGACGAAAAATTCTTGAGAGTTTCACTATCGAATCTTATCAAAATATAAATCTGCGTCCAGAATTTTTCCAATGTCTCCATTCCTAAAAGAATTACTCCATTCCCAAGCCAATATACATGACTATAAAAATGTCAAAAACATTAAAAGAAAAAGGCTAAATTAATAATCTTCTATTATTTAAAATATATAATACAAAAAATTAATCCCAAACTTAAATAATAATTACATTATAAAAAAAATCAACAAATATTTACCCACTTTTGTCCATAAAACATTAAATTACATCACTTAACATCTGTAATTTCCCATAAATTTTCAGTTAGCCAGACGTATATTTGTGAATGTTCTAAAATTAAAAACTAACCACATTCTACTTTTGTTTATAAATACTTGTTGCAAAATAAAATACATTTGCCTTGATAATATCCACCAGAAGATGAACTCTATCGACTAAGATATTTGGACCTTCCGTCTTTATAAATACTGGCCTTTTACAGATATACTTTTTACTTATATCTGAAATTTTACAAACACACACATATCTGTACATATCACTGCCTACCTAGATTTTGTTTTAATATTAAAGCTCTGACATTTCTAATGGCATCGAGCACTTTTTTTTTGCCAGAAAGCAGCTTTTTGTTCTTTTTAGAGCAGCTCATACTTTTTGAATATACTAAATGCTCTGAAGTGACTTTAGTTGTCCGAGTCAGTTTTGGCTTTATATTTATTTATATCACTGAGCACACAAAAAGCATGACATTCACACAGTCATCATTTTAACTGCCTAAATGGATTTTGTTTTTAATATATATATATATATATATATATATATATATATATATAATATGTAGATATATAAAATTTATATATATATTATATATGCGCGGTACTTATTGGAAAGCATTCAATATCAGAGACACAGATAACATATTTAGTTGTATGGATATGCGTTTCACGCTTTTTCATCAGACAAACTTTGTCTGATGATTCCAAAAGCGTGAAACCCAGGCTCACAAACTCATATCCATATATATATATATATATATATATATATAATATTAGTGTTTAATATGCTTCTGAAAAATTTATTTCGTTTGAGCTCTCTGGGGAGGATGTATGGGTTAGTAAATAATGCAAGATTCTTCAGTAAATCGAATTGAGTTCTCTCAATCACTGTGTGTTTATTTAAAAATAAATACACTTAAATTCACTATCATCCCGGCCATGCACCGTCATTATGGCTTAAATATTTCTTTTGACTGAAGCCAATCCAGTCGGTTTTTTTTTCTACTAGAAACAACCGGACTTCTAGCCACAACGATGAGCGTAATAATTTCAAACATTTTGTTCCGTGGATGACAAATATATATATATATATATATATATATATATATAAATTTCCAAGAGGATAGAATCCAGGTAGAAAAATGTCCAAGACAGAAAAGAAAATATTTCATTTGCAAAAACATAATTTATTGAAATATATATCAAATTTATTTATATTGGAATCGTAATTACGACCAATTATCAGACCTTCAAATTCAAAAAGCTTTTTTGGAATTTGTAGATCTGATAATTTGTTTGTGAAATGATTCCAAAATGTAATAAATTATAACCATGGAATATAAGTGTTAAAACGTTTATATATATATATATATATATATATATATATATATATATATATATATATCACTAATAATTCAATTACAAGGTTCAAGATTAACACAAGGTAACAAAAAGGGTTATCGTAAATGTATTGAATGAATATAAGAAAACATTTGAGAAGTCTTTGGGGCTATTATGCAGGAAAGAGAAAAGATTCCTTCTCCAACAAAAGCGCACAAGATTTAATTAGGGAATAAAATTTCAATTTTATTTGGAGAACTATATTTCTGTTGCTTCAAGTCTCTTCTGTGTCTGTGAAAAGATTGTCGAGCATTTATTGCCATATAAGAGGACTGATATTATGTTGCATTTCAATACATTTTTCTTTGTTTCTAACAATATTTTTCTGTTTCTTAATACTTTGCTTAGCTATGGGAAGGCATCTTTTACTATTTCAGTGCGCCTTCGGATTTCTGTGTCCCACTTTTCGTCTCCTGCCAACACGCTTCCCAGATGTCTAAATTGTTCTATTTGTTTGATTTCGGCATCCCCAATCTGTAATTTACACGTTGGGTTGTTCTCCCTTTTGCAAACTATGAAAATCAACCTTTCTGAAAACAATGTTATTAGAATGTTCAGACGGGTGGTGGAGAAGTGTTGCGACTTGTTGTCACTTGATCTCCATTGAAATCTACCACTGATCTGAAAAAAAAAACTTATCGTGTACAACTAATAAGGATAGAAATTAATCTAGAAATAAAAATGGCGAGGAAAAAAAAAAGAAAAGAATAAAAAAGAGAAAAGATGGAAATACTATTACTACTGTTAATAGGAATAACGTAAGGAAATGGAAACGTGCAAAAAAGGCGGCAATTGCTAAGAATAAAAACGAAACGAACATGTGGCTAAGAATAAGGAGTAAGCAGCAAAAATAAAAATAAAAAGCTTTATGAATGGACGATTTGGAGAGGTGATCAAGATTGAAAGAGATAATGCAATGCGGGTAGTTAACAGACTCGATGGAGAACAATTCCTGGAGTAGGTACCAAGATAGACGTACGATGCCGATTTTTTTTTTCAGACTTTTTGCAAAATCGACGCATGGTCATGTGGTCGTTTAATGAAGCCAATTGTACAAAGAGAAAAATACAGAAAGAAAGAAAGAAAGAAAGAAAACTGGTCGCATCTCTATTCCCTAAGCGTGCACTGCTTAGATTCGACCCTCTGAGTGATGAAATGTTATACGTGATCGGTGGTGGCTGGAACCTGGGCGCGCCAGGGAATCTTGAAGAGGCGGTCTTTATATTGTATATTGACGGCTTTGGGTGCATTCTGCCTCTGCCCGGTTGAAATCAATGCCTGGTGCGTTTGCAGAGTGCTTGTTGGCTGAGTTTTGCCGACGAACGGCATGCGGGTCGGTGGGTGGAATTTGAAAGGAACGAAGGAAGGTGACGAAATGACAGTAGAGTTCAAAATAGAGAAATTTGTTTTACTGAGAGAATCGGAAGAGAAGGTCGTTGCCTACGATTTCGCTTTATTACAGGCGGCTTCTCCCCAACACGACACCACCACCACCACCACCACCACCACAGCGGTGGAGAAGTTCTTATACAATCAACTCAATTCAACGTGAAACATTCTCCAACTAAATGTTATGGCAAAAAGGAAATTGGAATTATATATTTCTTAAGAGACAAAACAAACAAAGAAACAAAGAAACAAACAAATAAACAAACAGGCTTACGGTCATATCACTTTGGAACACCGGTTCCTGTACAATCATAAACGTTAAGCAACGTCGAGCCTGGTTAGTAACTTGACGGGTGACCTCTTCGGAATTCCAGATGCTGTAAGCTTAGATGTGTGGGTGGTGTAATGGATAAAGGCTCGGAATTGGTAATCGGATAGCCGAATTCCAATGATCATTAGGGTTCGTTAATCCACCTCTCCCCCCCAGCTACGGGTTAATTAGTAAGGCTTGTATCACTAAATTAGGTACCTCCACAGATTCGCTAAAAATGAGCATGCCATGATGAAAAAAGGCCCCAAACGTAAATTTAAAAAGTTTTATCGTCAAAAATTTTATGATATTAAGAGGAAAGACCCAAGGATTAGTGTAGGAAATTTTAGCGTTTTCTTTACGGTGAATTCTTGCAAAATTCAAATCATTGCCGGATTTTAATGAAACTTTCAGCGCTTATTCAAAAATTATTTATTTTTTAGAAATGTTTCTTTTTTAGAAAATCTTGTTAGAGACCACTTTTTTTATATCTGTTATCTCCACCTTATTTTTTTTTTATGAAATTTCGAGAAATTCATTTTTGTACCGCTTACCATTTATATGAGCTAAAAGCAGGACTCCTTAGAGAATTTAAATCATCAATATATATATATATATATATATATATATATATATATATATATATATTGTAAAATAGATCTCCTAGTTACCGAATATCTGTTCTGAATGGTAAAATAAGAAATTTAACAAAAGAAAAGACATTTTTGATGAATAATGAATTTTTAGAAGAATTGTTTAATTCTTTTTATAAATTTTATTTAGAATAATTTATAAAATTTTAAATCTTTTAAATTTCTGTATTAATTTTTACCTGTTAGATGATATCGTTATTAAGTGAAAATTATATTTAGTAATCATATATAGAAAAGCTTACTACAATTTATCGAACCCCAATAGTTTAAAAATAATTTTGAATTTTTTTTTTGTTTGTGTAAAAAAAGTGCCGAATTGGTTTGTAAATCTGGACGTCTAAACATAACATTATTATTAAATAAGAGCGATAATTTTAGTAAACTTAAAGCTAAGATGTCTAAAATCAATAAGACATTAGATTACGGATATTATTTTCCTAGTTTTTTAAGATTACTGTATAGTTAAATATATATATATATATATATATATATATATATATATATATATATATATATTAAAACGCGCTCACGTTTCATTTATCAAGTAATTTTTACAGATATGTCCACCGTAGAAAAAAATTAGATAAGCTCCCATCTGTCAGTCAAACTGTCAATCTGTCAACACCTTAAATAAACACCTACACCGGTATTAAAAAAATGTTTTTCTGCGATATTTTTAATTTAAATTAAGTATTTTTTTTTCAAATTAGATTTATTAAACTTTAAATCAGCTGATATTCCTGAAATAATGCTTCAGAAAATTATATTTTATTTTTGAAAGGTTTCTTTAATAAAGAGAATTACATTCTGCTGACAGATGCCTAAAAATGGTGCTAAAATCATCGATTTTTAGCGATTTCAAAACGAAAGACTCCTTCTAGTCCAGTTAGTTTTGAAATATAGCAAAGTATTTTTCTTATTGGAAATATTAAATTTAATCTATTAGCTTGAAATTAAAACTAAAATAAAAGCTTCAAGAAAGATTTTTCAATTTTGAAAATTAATTTTAATCCTTAGGTATCGCATTTCTGTGGAGATACCTACACTAAATCATTATTATCCCCCATCAATAAAATTATCACCCAAATATTTTTATGGCTTTAAATAACCTGAAAAAGGTTGATAATCCGTTTAAAAAAATAATTAGTCAATCAACATTATTTTAAGCGAGAAGAATGATATTCGAACAGTCAATATCAGGCTGAAATGTTTCAGCACGCTGGAGTCTTCTCTTCTTTTTTTTTTTAAAACATTTCCTCCCAAGCAAGGCTGGAAGCCACTATCACGCAAGCGGTTACATAGGATTTGGAGCAAGATCAGATAGGAGTAATAGAGGAAAGGATGAGGAGAAGGATAGGGGATAGATCAAGGCAACTGGAGATGTCGATTGACATTACATTTGAATAGTTGGAGATTATATCTATCAGGGAAACAGGAAAAGGGAAGGGAGTTCCACAGGCGAGAGGCGCGAGATATGAAGCTATTGGAGTAGAAGAGACGGCTACATTTAACAGTTTCAACAGTGAAAGGGTGAGAGCAAGATGCCAGCCTCGTAGGACGCTTGAATTCATGAAGCCTGGGAACCAGCGAAAGCAGCTCATCGGAGTAATTACCATGAAAGTATTTGTATAAAAAACAGAGAGAGGCGGCGGCACGTCTGTGAGAGAGCGACTGCAGATGAGATGCCAGATCAGGGCCAATTGCATTGCATATCCGTCTCTGGATCTTATCAAGAACCCCGAGGCAAACAGAAGCGGCTCCAGACCATATATGGCAACATTACTCCATGCAAGGACGAATGGTTGATTTGTAGATTTGAAGGATCGATTTCGGGGAGAAAAATTTCCTGGCGCGGTACAGGGAGCCAACTTTCCTTGCGGTGGATGAAGCAATTGACTCAATGTATTTGTTCCATCTTAGGTCAGCAGACAATGTGAGACCGAGCAGCCGCAGAGAGGTGCTCTCGAGAAGTTGAGCGTCAGGCATTCTAATGGAGGGCAGGGAAGGATCTCTGTGGTGATTAATAGAGAGCAATTTTATTTTTGAGGTGTTAAAGTTAACCAGCCATTTCCTGTCCCAGTTCACAACCGATTGGAGACGAACGGGCAGGTTAATTTTGTCAGCGACACTAGATTTGTTTTTGAGGTAGGAGTAAATTGTAGTGTAAAATAGGTATCTAGAGGTTCCGGTTCAATCCATACATTCCGCGGTCATTTTTGTCCCTAATGATACGTTTGTATTAAGCAGAGACTTCCAAAATTTTAACATTGACGACAATTTAATTTTTGTAGATGGATGTGAATTTCAGGGAAAGAAGGATATTAAAAAAGGACACGCATTAAGAACTAGCAAAAGTATTATTTAGGAAAAAATGGAGAGCAAATGATCGTCCAAGTCCGGAATTTCAAATAACGGCACATAGAAGATTTTATTATTTAATATACTTTGCTTCAGTGTATTAACAAACACATAAAGACAATACAATAATATATATATATATCTAAAAGAGGAAGGTCGAAGGTAATTTTTGAAATGAGTGAGACGATTTTGCGTTGCTCAGAAACTTTTATTTCTAGTTTCATGTGCAAGTGCACTCCGACAGGGAATGAACCTGCACCCGCTTTGTAGTGGAAAACCACCGTTTGATTGAGCAGGCCATACACCTCGGAGAACACTCTTTTACTGCCAAGGAATAATTTATGGGCCTTTTGTTTCGCATGTAATATAAAATAATTAAGGCAGTGGAGAATTCTGAAAATATTTTCAAAGCATTTCTCCTCTTCGTCTAAATAATCCGAGCTGCCTATTCTTAATACTCTTAGGTAGAATCCGATGATTATATCGGATTTTATAAACGGCCTTTTCCTATCAATCCAAAAAATATATTATCCTGCCTACTAATTCTATCACATCAACAATCGAAAAAATATCTATCTAAACTTAACATAAAATTTGTTACTACTACATCCAAAATAAATAAAACATTTAGTTAATACTAAACAGAAAAATAAGCTAAAACCTGAATTTCGGACTTTACTTCATCGCCTGTAATAATTGTCACAAATATACATAGGAGAAACCTTAAGGAATCTAAATAAAATGATTATATGAACACAAAAGGGACATTGTACAAAATAATGCGTCAAATGCGTTGGCTGCACACCGTAACGAGGCTGATCGCAAGTGTGGCATAAAAAAAGCTACGATGATCAAAGGAGAAAATGATTCACTACGACGTAAATGTGCCTTGATCGCAAGGTCATCTACAGTAAATTTGCGAATTTGAGAATTATCTAGTCGTATCAACATTAACGAACCTAGTTGGACGAAGTCTTAAGGGACGAAACGCGTCACACGAAAAACTTTTCCACTTCATACAACTTTCCTCAAAAATTTCTGTTGATATATATATGTGTGAGTGTGTGTGTGTGTGTGTGTGTGTGTGCGTGTGTGTGTGTGTGTTATTTATTATTATTATTATAAGAGATTATAATAAGAACTTGTTGAAATTTTCTTGTCTAAAAAATTTCATGTTTCAATATTTTAATTTTTTTTTTTTTTCAGTCGATGGTAACAAACTAAGTAGAATTAATTACCATCGCCTGAAGAAGTACAATCATAACATTGAAGCATGAAAGTTTATATGCCGCGATTCAATATGTTTTTATTATTAATTTTTATAATAAAAATAATAACATATTATATTTAGTTTTATTGAGAGTTGTTTTAAAAGTAAATGTTATGAACATTTGGAATTATATTTTTTATATGTTCTTTCCCTCAACATTTGATATATATATATATATATATATATATATATATATTATGTGTGTGTGTGTGTGTGTGTGTGTGTGTGTGTGTGTGTGTCATTGTGTGTTATGGTCCGGTTCCTTATACCACGGTGATAGTCCAAAGGTAGAACCAATAAAGAAGAACTCGAAGGTATGGAATAACAAAGATATTTACAAACAAAGGAAATATATTACAGAGAAGTAGAAGTGTTAGTATGAACAATCAGGTTTAGTAGAGAGAACAATGTAGTCTCGACCATTATCACTATTCAAATGTCTTGCAGTAATTGTCTGAACGCGAGTCTGTTTCGGACTGCCTCTAACTCGACTCTTGACTCGACTTGAACTGACTCAACTGACGATATTCACATTCAACCCCCAAGAAAGCGTCATGTTTACAATTTTTTTTTAATTGGCCTTGGAGCCCTCAGGCTTTCCAAAATATGCCCATTGAACACGTATTAGGGTTCAGGGTCCTTTTTACCTGAAGGAAAAGAGAATCCGCCCTTCGGCGTAGCCTCCTTCGGGTTTTTCCCCGCCCGAAGGCAGAGAGTTCAACCGATCTGTAGTTCAAGAGATGAGCGACTGACGATATTCAGTCACACCCCTACGAGGGCGTCAGGTGGCTCAAGGCCTTTTTAACGTGGGCTCGGCCAAAAATATGCCCATTGAACGAGTATAAACGAAGAAAAGGGTCGGTATACCTTCCCGAAAGAGAATCCGCCCTTCGTCGTAGCCACTTTCGGGTCCCTCTCCGCCCGAAGGCAGAGAGTTCAACCGATCTGTCGTTCAAGAGTTGTGTGACTGACGATATTCAGTCACCCCCCCACCACCACGAGGGCGTCATCTGGCACACGTTAAAAAAAAATTTGAGCTTTTGGAAGTAAAGTCTGATGATCCAGAACCCTGTTAAAGGGGTTATGGTGAAATATTCTTATTACATGGAATCTTAACGTGGTCTGAATTTTTATTCAAACAAATAATATATATATATATATATATATATATATATATATATATATATGTCATGTCTCAAATATGGATTAGAATCAGACAGAATGGTAGGCTAATGAACAAATAAAAACGTTTAGATGGACCGAATTTCGATGTCTTTTTATGTAGCTTCCATGTTGTGACAAAATAAATTTGGCTCAAATATGGATCAAATATCGATTAGAAATCGATATCTGTCTCTCATTCTATATACGTTTTGAAAGCGTCGCCCATGTGACGACAACGTGACCATGCTAAACGGAAAGCTGATCATTTTAAAAAATTTTGAGTTATCTGTTTTGGATAAGACTTGTTTTTTTATGTCCATCGTCTTTGTCAAATTGAACTGAATTGTATTTTAATGAATATTGTCGTGAAGAAGGTTTATTAAACCGAAACGTCAGACGTCGACATTTCATTCATTTTAAACAACATAATTGCATTTAAGGATTTTTGTTTTAAACAAAAAAATTTTTTCAATATATATATATATATATATATATATATATATATATATATATATATATATATATATATATATATATGTGTGTGTGTGTGTGTGTGTGTGTGTGTGTGTGTGTAATACTCTTAGAAATGCCTAGAGTCGGGTGAAGTGAAGAATTTAAAATTAATATTCTGGGTCGAATATTGATTAATGTTATCGATCTAGTTCGGGTACAAAGAAACGTTTGCTTTGTTGATTTTGATTAATTGCATACAGATCTGCTATGGCTTCGAAGTATAAGGGACGAGCTGAAATCGATTTTTGTTTTTTTATCGACCTTCTTCTTTCGATCTACCAGAGAATCGACACAAACCCTCTACCTGAATACAGAATCAAAATAAACCCGTCCAACTTCACAACGTAACACACATACATACAGCACGCATATATCTCAAATTTTGAATTTGGGAATTTTTTTAAATTTATTATTTATTTAATTGTGTCGGAGAGCACATATTTTTCTAATAATATTTCCCAAATATTCAGGCCGGTAGTCGAAAATAAATACCGGTTTATAAATAAATAGCGCCTACGCAAATATGAGTCTCAACTAAAAATAACGTTTAGTTAATAAAAACTTGTTAGATTAATAATTAAAAGAAAAAAAATTCCTCTATTTACATTATTTGGACTATTGTCCTCATCTTTGTTGCCATATTTATCACAACGTTTCGGCCGTTGTACGCTCGGGCCTTCTTCAGGTGGTTGGAATGTAGAACTGAACCCTTTATTTCACTTGCTGGAGTAGACTGTTCTAGTTCCACGTGCCATGTCTAATGGAAGTCAGTTATTAGTTATCTCCTGTTAATTCCCCTCACCAAGTTCTCCACCGCCTTAGCCAGGCATTGAACGCACACTCTTTGAACCTAACTAATGCCTTTATCCACTGTGCCATGTGTCCTTGAGGAAATCGGTCTGTTCAGCACACATTTTTTTACCAGTGCTCATATTGCAATTTTTGCTGTTATCAATACATGTTTTTACCAGAGCTCATATTGTTATCTGACAACCATTAAACATGGCACGTGGTACTAGAACAGTCTACCCCAGTGAGCGAAATAAAGGGTTCAGTTCAATATTCCAACCACCTGAAGAAGGCTGGAGCGTACAACCGCCGAAACGAAGTAATAAATATGGCAATGAAGGACACTAGTCCGAATAATGTAAATAATGTACATAATACCTCATCTTAGATATATAGACAGACACTGAAAGGCCGAAACGTTGTAATAAATATGGCGATAAAGATGAGGACAATAGTCCGAATAATGTAAATAGTGTACATAATATTTCATCTCAGAAATATAGACAGATACTGAAAGGCCGAAACGTTGTAATAAATATGGCGACGAAGATGAGGACAATAATCCGAATAATGTAAATAGTGTACATAATATTTCATCTCAGAAATATAGACAGATACTGATAGGCCGAAACGTTATAATAAATATGGCGACAAAATGAGGACAATAGTCCGAATAATGTAAATAGTGTACATAATACCTCATCTTAGAAATATAGACAGATACTGATAAGCCGAAACATTATAATAAATATGGTGACAAAGATGAGGACAATTTAACACTATTACTACTAAGTGGAAATGCAAGTAAAATACAACGAAGAAAACAAAAAAGGATCTAAATGATTAAACAGCAAATTCTGTTTGTCTCTCCATGTGTCTGAAACCTCTCTAACTCGGGTCCCACTTGCTAACCATAGACATATTATATCTTTTTGGAATGAGAAGGATTTCGGGATTATAAATCTGCCCTTCATCTGGTGCTTGAGCATCCTGCATTGGGATTTGTGTCCTGATGAGGAGGGGACAGCTAAAAATTCAAGTTTTAAATTTGCTGAAAAAAATAAGTGATTTCAAAAAAAGTTTTTAATTTATATTGAGTTTAAAGTAACAAAAAAAAAAAAAAAATTAAATAATTTTTTTAAAAATTCAGTTTAAAACATCTCCAAAACTTTGTGAATTGAGGAAATCAGTTTTATTTCTTCAAAATATCAAGGAATTAGTGTCAGAGGTTTCGTTACATTTTGAAGTTCCGAGTGTTTGTGCTTTGAAGAATCTCATTTTCGGCCTGAATCTCATTTTCGGCCTGAATCTCATTTTCGGCCCAAATCCGACTTTCAACTCAAATCGATCTTTTGGCCAGAATTGAAAATATAGCCAGAAACAGAGTTAAAGTGATGTTTCTCATTTCTCTTTTCTAGGACGGGTGAAAGATCAATTTAGTTTTGGGTCGGAGACCCAGTTATTCCTCCGTTGAAGCTAGCTTAAAAGTGTGCACAGAATGTGGCTTTTAAGCTAGTTAATAATAACTGCCATATTCACACAACTTAAGACTATCGCCACTAGAATTAAAAGCAAGAAAAAAAAGATTAAATAAATACAAGTCAATAATTAATAATAATTGACAAGGCTTTATCTAAAAATTCTGATAATTTACGGCTATTCCTACTTGGTGTAAAAGTATGAGAAATAAGATGATAGGATAGGCTAGACTAAAATTGATAATAATTGACAAAGCATGGTCTAGGAATTTCAGAAGACTTAAGACATTCAGAATTTCAGAAGACTTAAGACATTCAAAATTTCAGAAGACTTAAGACATTCAGAATTTCGGAAGACTTAAGACATGTCATTTAGTGTAAAAGAAAGAAAAATGAAGACGAAAAATTATGACAAAAATTAATATTTGACAATGTTCCATTTATGAAATTCAGACAACATTATTACTGTTTGATGTAAAAGCAAAAAATGGAAGAAATACTAGTGAAAAATTAATAATATTTGACAATATTTCACCTACTAAATTCAGACAACATTATTACTGTTTGACGTAAAAGCAAGAGTATTAAGATGAAAGAAATACAAGTGGAAAATTAATAATATTTGACAATGTTTCGTCTACGAAATTCAGACAACATTATTACTGTTTGACGTAAAAGCAAGAGTATTAAGATGAAAGAAATACTAGTGAAAAATGAATAATATTTGACAATATTTCATCTACTAAATTCAGACAACATTATTACTGTTTGACGTAAAAGCAAAAGTATTAAGATGAAAGAAATAGAAGTGGAATATTGACAATATCTGACAATGTTTCATCTACGAAATTCAGACAACTTAACATTATTACTGTTTGATGTAAAAGCAAGAGAAATAAGATGAAAGAAATACTAGTGAAAAATGAATAATATTTGACAATGTTTCATCTACGAAATTCAGACAACTTAACACCATTACTACTAGGAGAAAACAAAAAAAAATTAATAAGACGAAATAAACTCTTGTTAAAAATAAATACAGATAAATAAAGAATTCACAATATCACTCCTATCCTGATTGAACAAAAAGGAAATAACATATGTAAACTCAAGAAGAAGAAGAAGAAGAAGAAGAAATATAAATAAAGCAAGGAAACTCTTAGAAGCTGTGAACATGAAAGGTGTGTGACCCAATGAGAAACAAATCTGCAAAGAGGTTACGGGAAAAGAAATTGTAATATGCTCTGATCTGATACATTCGTCAGCGAGGAGAGCATCTATCATGGCTCAAGTGTGGCATATTGCGATCGATTCATTTCTCATCTTTTTTCCGCCACTCGTGTGCTGCCTCGCCACAGCCTCCGTCGTCCATCTTGTCTTGCTTGTCCGTACCGCGGCGCGCGCATTTTGTGTAAATTGCCACCGACACTCGTGAAATGGGTAATCAGGGACTATAATGAAACCGAGAAGTATCCATCACCGGAAGCGTCAGTCACAACAAGCGAGCGAATTATTTCGAAATTGGATTTGTATGAAAATCGCGTTCTGTTCTATTCTATTCATTCATTCACTTTCCTTCTTTTTTTTTTTTTTTTTTTTTTTCATTTCTCCATTTTCTGGTTGCCATTCTACTTGTAAATCTCCCGCCTTTTTCCTCTCGTCTCTCTCTCTCTCTCTCTCTCTCTCGCTGTCTTTTTCTTCTTCATTCCCTTTGTGTCTTTTATGCTTAACCAGAAATATTCTTCCAATTAAATATTTTGTAAATTTTAGTCTTTTACACGTCACCTTCGATTGCTTTTGTTTCGTTTGCGAGATAAACAAATCTTCTTCTTCTTCTTCTTTATTTCTATATTGCTTCGTCAGATGCTTTTATTCTTTCTTTCTCTTTGTGCGTCTTTCTCATTCTTTCTTTCTTTCTATATTTTCTCGTCAGATACTTTTTTTTCTTTTCTTTTTCTATATTGCCTCATCAAATACTTTTATTCTTTTTTCTTTCTATACTGTTTCGTCGGATATTTTAATCTTTCTTTTTTCTTTTCTTTCTTTCTTTCTTTCTTTCTATACTGTCTCGTCAGCTACTTTTACTCTTTCTTTCTTCCTTTTTCTTTTTTTTATATTGCCTCATCGGATACTTTTCTTTTTTTTCTTTTTTCTATACTGTTTCGTCAGATACTTTCTTTCTTTCTTTCTTTCTTTTTTTCTTTCTTTCTTTCTTTCTTTCTTTCTATACTGTCTCGTCAGCTACTTTTACTCTTTCTTTCTTCCTTTTTCTTTTTTTTATATTGCCTCATCGGATACTTTTCTTTTTTTTCTTTTTTCTATACTGTTTCGTCAGATACTTTCTTTCTTTCTTTCTTTCTTTCTTTACTGTCTCGTCAGCTACTTTTACTCTTTCTTTCTTCCTTTTTCTTTTTTTTCGTCAGATACTTTCTTTCTTTCTTTCTTTCTTTCTTTCTATACTGTCTCGTCAGCTACTTTTACTCTTTTCTTTCTTCCTTTTTCTTTTTTTATATTGCCTCATCGGATACTTTTTTTTTTTTTTTTTTTTTCTATACTGTTTCGTCAGATACTTTTCTTTCTTTCTTTCTTTCTTTCTTTCTTTCTTTCTTTTCTTTTATACTGTCTCGTCAGCTACTTTTACTCTTTCTTTCTTCCTTTTTCTTTTTTTTATATTGCCTCATCGGATACTTTTCTTTTTTTTCTTTTTTCTATACTGTTTCGTCAGATACTTTCTTTCTTTCTTTCTTTCTATACTCTGTCGACAGATACTTTTATTCTTTCTTTTTTTTCTTACTATTAATCCATTGTTCTTCTTATTGTCACCCCCCTCTCGCTTTCCTTTCGTATTATTTACATTCTTCTTATCAAAAATCTTTGAATTATTCCTTCCATCAACTAAAAGAAAATAAATTCCCCTCGACATTCAAGTTTCCTTCCCCACATTCAGTCACTTAACTTACGACAAAAATAAATAAATAAATAAATAAATAAAATAAAATATATCGCGAATAAAATAAAATCAAGGAAAATGGCGGAAAAATTTTTCTCCCTTTAATCTTTTTATTTTACTAAATTTGATTCTTAGCCGTAATTCATCATGGCAACTGCAACTCCGCTCCAGTGATGTTTAGCAAGCTAGCTTCTTAAATTATTACTATTGAACTCGGGGTCTAGTCCTCACCATGCGACCACCATGCTTAGAGCTTTGTATCAAAAGTTCCCCTACTTGATCACATATAAAACGCCTTCATTTTATCCCTGAAAATGATTCAAATTTATAACCACATTCCTGCAGAATATCTAACGTTTTGAATTTTTTTACGGCTTTTCAACCTTCAGTGGGCCATTTAAAACCAGAAAATATTTTTAGATTCTAAATTTCGCTAGAGACAATAATGATTTACAAGTCCTACTAATTAACCCATAGCTGGGGGGGAGAAGATATGGATTCATACTTTTCTAAAGTGTATTTGCACGTCAGTGAATATAACGGACTCGTCTAGAATATGAAATCGCTCCCCCTATTTCCAATTCCGAGCCTTTATTCATCAAACCACCCGCTAATCAAAATTTAGAGTACGTGGCATTCCCAAGAGGTCACCCATCTAAGTACTCACCAGGCACGACGTTGCTTAACTGTGGTGGTGGTGGTGGGTGTTTAACGAGCAGTCGTAGAACTTGACGACCATTATATATATTATTATAAAAAAATCACATAAGCACCTCTGCCAAACTTGCTGCTCGGAACGAATCACTCAAGCTCCATCGATACTACGGTTGTATATGCAATGTTAAATTATCTACTCATGCCGTGAAGGGTTTATCATCTCTCAGTTGCGTCTCTGTCTTCGGGCAGAGACTCAGCTGGTGGGAAAAAAATACTGAGAGGTGCCCTTGTCCCGAGGAATAGCTGCTCGCGGCTGTAAACCTCGCACTGTACTAGAAAGATCAGGTCGGTAGTCATATCAATGGCAGCGCAAGCAACTGTTGCGGGAGGCGGAGCAATTTTTGGCCCGAGTGTACGTGGTCAGGTTCCTCACATTAAACCCGTCCTTGTGTCATATCACGTCTCATTGTGGAGACAGGGTGAATACTACTAGGTAATACCAATACATGTACCAAACCTAACCCCAGAAAAATGGAGTGGAATAATTGCACCACCAAGAACATTAAGCTTCATAATATTACTATCAGACGCTTGACCATAAACCGAAAAATTAAACGAAAAAGACATTTTAAATAAGTGGAAATCTCTTGAAGAATTAGAACCATTCAGATGATAATAGACGTCTACTCGTTTCTGAGAATACCTATTTACTAGGATGGCTAACCAATCCCTGTTGTAGACGTCTGCTCGGACACATTTCGATTTATTTATTACTCACAGAGCTCACCGGTGGTTTATGCGTAACTATGCTGAACAGATCTTAGTTACAAGTTCTGGAAGTGAGTGCATAATCAGGTGAGATCAACAGGTCAAATTAAATTTTATCTAGGTTTTAACTAATAGTTTTAAAGAGTTTTTTTCTCTTTATTTTAAAAATATTTAGAAATTACAATAACTTAGTTATCTCCCTTGACGTTTGTCTGTGTGTCTACACGATAAAATTTTAAATTTTAGACTACAGAAATTTTTAGCGTTTTTCCCTTCACGAGTAAAAATTTAAGTTTCAGATGAATACAACAATTTTGTTTTAGAAAAAAATGACCCCAACAATTTTTATCTTAGAAAAACGTTGTGCAAATGTCGAAAGTACTCAGAATAAGATGAATATGCATCAACATGGTAATTTTCTTTCTTCCTTTAATAAGGATACTAAGAAAATTGTCCGTGAATACGAGAGGATCCTATTAAAAATAAGTAGGCAAATCTTGTATAAATTATTTAATGAGACATGTTTTGATGAAAATATATATATTACAAATTCGTTCACGTTCTACATTTTATGGCAATTTTAGTTAGTACCAATGGATTATACATACATATATATGTATTATACATATCTCTCTCTCTCGCTATCTATCTATCTATCTATCTATCTATCTATATATATATATATATATATATATAAAGAAGAGGTTATAGTAGTTCCAACGAGGAAAAAGTGTGTATATTATAAAGAAGAAAGAAACCGCAAACGTTTTTGGTCGTAATGTGAATTTTTAAAAAATCTATATTATGCTATATTTTCCCTAATTTTGCTACACGTGTTTCCGGTCTCGCGACCTTCATCAGGCAAAGAGTCGATATTTCCACATATTATTAAAAGGAATTAATTTTCTTAGGTTTTTCGATGTCAAATATTCTCGATATTAGACTTTCTCTTTTTTGTGTGTTAGTGACCCAGATATCTTCCTTTTGAATTGGCAGTGAAAAAGTTCTGCATGTAGGTTAATAAAGCAATTATATATATATATATATATATATATATATATATATATATATATATATATATATATATATATGTACAAGTTTCGTTAAAAACAACAGACGAGTTTCCTTTTTTTATTTTTTGTTGACTATTTTAAATTTAATAATTATGCATTTGGCCGGAAATCTCTCTTTTATTCAACAAGGAACATAAAAAAAACATAACCTTAGTACATTTCAGTCGTTTTTAGCAAAACTTGTATAAAAGAAGGATTGCTGCTCAAATGCATAATTATTAAATTACATGACCCTGCAGTCAACACAGAAAAAAATAAAAAAACTTTTTTTTTATTTCGTTCATATATATATATATATATATATATATATATATATATATATATATATATATATATATATATATATATATATGAAATGGACAAAGTCCGACAATTATTTTAAGATGTTTTTTTATGTTTATACATTTTTATAGATATAAATATTTAAGTATAAGTAAAATATACACACACACACACACACACACACACACATATATATATATATATATATATATATATATATATATATGTATGTATAATCCATTGGTACTAATCATAATTACTATATAATGTAGAACGTGAAAGAATTTGTATATATATATATGTATATATATATATATATATATATATATATATATATATATATATATGCTTATATCCAGGTAAGATGAGAGCGAGTAGAGTACAATTCCAACGTTCGTAACATTTTATTTAAAAGAGGGCTCAATATAAACACCACTGCAATTGTGTAGTGATTTTGACATGTTTTCTGTATAATATCCTAAAATAAATAAATAATATATATATATATATATATATATATATATTTATATATATATATATATATATATATATATATATATATATATGTGTGTGTGTGTGTGAAAAGTGTATATAAATATAAATAAATATATATATGTATAATTATTTATATATTATATGCGGTACTTATTAGAAAGCGCTCAATATCATAGATAGAGCTAACATATTTGGTTGGATAGATGTGAGTTTGTGACCCTGGATTTCACGCAAAGTGATCGTCAGACAGGGTCACAAAATCACATCTCAGTATATATATATATATATATATATATATATATATATATATATATATATATATATATATATATATATATAAAAGAAATATACCTAATATATTATATTAACTTAATATGTTCGAGTTTCATGCTGAAGCAAATTTCAAGTGCTAGCAGTATTATATTTTTTTTTTTTATTTATATTTTCGGTTGACACTTGTTTTTCTAAAAAATATTTTGGTCCACACGAGGTGGAATATTATTCGAGTTAAAATATCTAAATGATATGTAATTTAAGTTTAAATCTGAATTTAAGCTCAGATCAACAATTAAGACTGAAAATAAAGTTAGAAATAAGAAGCATAAATTCCTAATTGGGGAGGGGCTGGTTTTAAAATATAATAAATATAATATATATATATATATATATATATATATATATATATATATATATATATATATGTATATATGTGTGTGTGTGTGTGTGTGTGTGTGTGTTTGTAAAATATATAGAAAATAGGAAAGAACTCGTTAGGTAAATAATCCAAAGTTCTTTAGTATTTTTTTATTATTTTAAAAAATAGTGCTCGATACAAAAGTAGATATATAAATATATATATTTATTTAAAAATATGATTCCAACGCTACATAAGAGTTGTGTGTGTGTTTCAAAACAAGTTCATAAAATTGAATATAATTATTTGAATTAAATTGAATTAAAGCGTAAGCTTTGTTCCATTTTTATTAAAAAAAAAAAAATAACTTATTCCTGAAATTTACGCGTTTTATATTATATTCATATATTGAAAATATGATTCCATCATGGTACAACAAGCTAGAGCAATTATTTTAAAGAAAATTTCTATGGGTTAATAATTTCTTGTATATTTTCATATATATATATATATATCTTTTTTTTAAACCCATTTTAAATGAATATATTTGTATGAAATTTCCTACCTTTTTCATCAAAAAAACAAACTGTCTCTAAATCTTCTGCCTTTTAAGCAATCTATCGAATCTGTGTGAATAGCCCAGGTAATGTTTGTCTTAAACCCTTATTTTTAAACTGACTATTTTATTAATAAATGACATAACATGTTATTTCTTTGGTCTTGGGTGTAAAAGGTAAAATTTTCAATTTGAAACCAGCATTTTTCTTAACCTCAGCAAATAATAATTATAATATTGTCATGCGCAAAGAAATTAAAGAACATTTTAGAAAATTTTTTCAAAACAATAAAGACAATTATATTAGTCTGTTATTGTTCCATGAATTATTCAAATTATAAGTGTTTGAATTCACTTTAGGAAAGATGTGTTATTTATTTATAATCAACAATCATTTGAGATA